TAAAAATATTTTAGTCTTTTTCCTGCAGTAGATACTTTTAGAGTCGAGAAATTCCCTTTCGCCTGGTGGTACTTTACTTGAAACACTTTTTGAAATCCTCAAAAGTTCACTCATTAGATTGTTTTTAATTTTGTGATTTTTTTTAGCTAACCACTTGGTTGGTAAAATATTCCAAATTTTTCTCAGCACACGCATTTGTTATGTATTTCAGAAAAAGATAAAAAAACCGTTGTTCGTGGTTTTTTTATCAGTTTTTGAATACCACCTTCCTATAACTTTATTAGTTTACTGTGTTCTACTCAGAATGATTTTTTGATTAAAATAATATATCGTTGATTTCAGCAATAATTTAATTAGTGTGTAGCCTTTTACACCTTTTTAATTTAAAACTTTCAGCATTGCCTATCTATTAGCCTGCCTATCTAAGGTGTGAATACAATTTTTAAATTTCTTTAAATGTATTCCATAATTTTGCTGTAGAGTCGAGCATTTTCAACGGAAACAGTCTACACATTTTTATAACTTTTAAACTGGCAGTTAAACATACTACGTTCGCTAATTAATGTAAGTTATATATTTAAATAAATACCTAATACTATGTACAGGGAAAAAAAATAAACACCTTGGAAAATCAAATCTAATGCATCAACTAGACGAAATTTCAGAATATATACTATGCTCTATACATCGGAACAAGATTTCTTTTCGAGAAATTATTTACAGACAGGAAAAAAAATACACACATTGTAATGAATTATAAGTGGAACAAGCAAGTGACCCAAGAATAAGTCATTAGTTAAGTTTTAATTACAATAAATAACAAAACGATTATCCAAAAAAATATTATCAAATATTTGATGATGGCGAACGACAATTTCGTTTACTCTATACATTTTGTATATTACATGAAAATTGAATGGGGGTTATGATGTATATGGATAGGTATTTACATTTTTATTTGATCGCGTGTGATTGGGTTTTTTTTGTAGTTGTGAAATTGACTCAATAAAGTTCTTATGGTTGGCGATAGAAAAGTCAACGGCAAGACGTTGACAACAGCACGTGCGCGAAGTAAAAAATATACGTTCGTTTACGGGTCGCGCGCCCCGCGGCGAATTTATGAAAAGTGTTACAATCGAGCAAAAACAAGATAGGAGAAATATTGAGAGGGGGATATAATATATATATATAGAAAACGTTGTAAAAATACATTTGATAATAAACAACAATTGTTTGGATTTTGTGTGCGGAAAAAAAACATTATTCGCAGCGCACATCTAGTACAAAAGCTAACACATCACAGAAACGGTCCGAATGTAGAGTTTAGTTTTTTTGAATTTACATAAAAATATTGAAAAAACAATATTCGATTTTGTCAATAATATTATTGAATAATGTCTAAGAATATTTTCAAAGATGAAAGAATACAAAAAAAAAAAAAGTAATACAAAAGGCAAACACATTCCTTGATTTTTAAAAACCGTAATAAAAAAAAACTGACATACTTAGCACCACGAGTATTCGATTCTCAGTGATGTTCGATTTAACATATTTTGTCATTTTAAAATTGTATTAATTTATAACTATACACATAAAATTAAAAATTTTTCATTTTTTTTTTTCTCAAAGATTTAAGCGGTTTTATGAAGCCAAAACTGATTTATCAACACATAACACATATGTGAAATTCCGTGATTTTTATCACGATTTAAACGTTAAAATTTTAATAAATATGAATAAAAAAAAATTGTTACTATGGAATTTGATATTTCCATAGAGCCATGAAAAACACTTATGTTGAATTTTGTGAGAAATTTTTGAACATTTTTGAGAAGCCAAAAATATTATAAATGTTTGACCAAACAGAAATGCTAGAAAATAGAATAGAAGGTTCATTATATTATATTGCACTTAATACAAATAAAGAACTAATGTAGTATTTTTCATATAAGAGCTTTTGGGTTCAAATTTTGACGAATTTTGAACTTCGCTCAGAATCATTTTTCGATAGTATAGTAATGGTTTATGGTTGCTTACAGATACAAATTAAATCATTTTTCACCTACAGCCGTGGTTCACCCGTCCCCAGTATCAGATTTTTTTTTTCATAGAAAGGTGGAGGAATGACTAATTTTTTTATATCTATAAAATATTAAGAAGATAATATTACACAACGGATACCTAATTATTTTACCGATGGAGTATATTATATAACGAAAAACATTTAATTTTATCGAGTAAATTTCTTCTTTTTAAGCAGGAAAATACTTTTTTCTCTCTGCAGCTATATCCGCAGTCCGAACCATTCCTGGAATTTCGTAACTCTTTACTAGCTTCTATTGCGTTATCCAATACGAGATACAAATAACCATGTGCATGTCCTTAACCCTCCAACAAATGAAATTCTCGAAAATTAGTATTAAATTATTTTGCATATCATCTGTATGAATTTGTTTGACAGTTTTTAGAATTTTTTAGATAATAGTGCCCGAGGAATATCAAAAATACTGAAAGGGGGGTGGGTGACTTATGTCTCCAGTCCGCACTAATGTCAATAATTAATGGGGGTTGTATACAAATTTTGAAATGATAGTACAAATTCGTACAAATTGATTTCTTTAATCGTGCAGTATAAAATATATGAATACTTAATTATTTATATTAATGGGAACCGAAAACATATATAATCGGCCCCTTCTGTATTTACGATATTACTCGGATACTAGTATCGAACAAATTCTAAAAATGTTCAAAGATATTTAAACAAGTGACGTAAAAAATATTTGAATACGAATTTTCGAGAATTTCATTGCTGGGGGAAGGGAGTTGGGGACATGTACGTAAAATAAATAAAATTATAATTTTTTCATCGCAGATTCAATATTTATAGAAAAAAAAAGTTTTAAATCTGTAATTAGAAATATGATGTTTCAGTAGTTTAAAATTCGTTTCGAGTTGAACTTCAATACCACTGTAATCGATGTAGGTGTAAATAATAAATGTAATTATACTATAGAGCAGGCAGATATATTAATTTATGCGATCACACTTTTTTTTTTTTACCAGTGGTTTATTATATTTTATTTTGTTTATTTGATTTTTAAAACATGTTTCCAATATTTAATCATCTACAATTATTTTCACAGCAAAATATCGATATTTTTTGCTCAAGTTATTCACTTATAAAGGACAGATATAATACTATTAAGTATTAGGTACATTATTATAGTTGTTATTTTTTAGAGAAACCATAATATTATTATAGGGGAGTGAAAAGTATGACAATTCAAAAAGTGTGGTGCAACGATGTCTTTCAACGTTTCACTCGTAAACCACAATACGTAATAGAATCAAAAATAGCCTCAAGTTTTAATACAAAAAAAAAAGTGGACAGCAGTTCTTAAGAAAATACATTTTACTTCATTTCGCTGTTTTTATCAAGATAGGTCAATTTCCTGAGTGAAGAGTAACAAAAAAAAAGATATAGGTATCATATCGAACAATGTCGATAAGGAGGGTACGTCATCATATTTTCGATTAAAATTTTCCCTCGATTCTTCGAGTTTCATCTATAAAATAATATTACTATTCCTATATAATATATATATGTATACATTTTGTTTATTTTTTCAAAACTAAATAAAACATGAAACAAACACAAATAGCTAATATAACTACGTAATACGTATAGATACGACTTATTTTATTACGAGTTTTATTTTATATTCATAGAAAAAATATTATACTTTTCGTTCACGTTTACTATTTTCGCGTTCACGTATGTCATTGGCACGGTTAATAGAATTATTTTAAAATTACAAGCACATCAGTAGGTACATATAAAATGTATTCATCATTGAAAATCTATGCATCATAGTAACATACATATCAGATTGTGACTTGAAATTTCAAACATTTTAGAAATATAAAACACACTTTAATTTGAAACTTGTAAACACTATAATATGTTTAAGATTTAGACTTGTCGCACTATTTTATCAGTCGAATGTATAATATTATACTGATAGTGAACCCGTTCGCATTTTAAAAACTATTAACAGCAAACATATTATACAAAACCTGTTAGTCATATTTTTCCAATAGTTCCTAACTATTTTCGTAGTTTCACATCATTCTTATACTGTCGTGACGTAAATTCAGGCAAAAATCAGTACGCAAATCATAGATCATACATAATGAATATATTATATATATGTTATATTAGTAACCGTCCTTATATTTATTCTCACTCGTAAATAAAGTATGCATTCGATAAACTTTTAAATTATTCTCCTAGAAAATTGAGTTAATAAAACTGATAACATTTTTCACTATATGTACGGGGAGAAGAAATAATACATGGATAGGGTGAAACAAAGAGTGCGGGGGTTTCTTGATTTTTTATTATTAATGTTTGTTAATAATCTAAATTACTTATTTATACATAACTTATAAGGTAACATTTCAAAATATGTTTGTAAAATTATTAATATTCGTTAAACTATAATAAGTAATAATAATATCAAAACAATAATAATAATGATATTCATTATGCACACGGATTTAAATGTAAATTATGTTTTACTGAAGTCTCGTGTCGCCTTCTATAATTGAACGGGTTGCAGATTGTCATTTAAGGGTAGGTTTATCAATTATTAAAATATAATACAAGGTAATCAGCAACGTATACTTTGCAACGTTAAATTAATATATTACCGAAAATAACATTTTCGTACGTGGTTTTGGAACAAAAACTGCATTTAAAAAGTATTACCAATATAAATAGAATTTTATAAATTATTTTTAAAAAATACCTACTTATGAAGCGATTAGTGAATTAGTGTACATTTTAATAAAACTCGATTTTTAAGGAACAAAACGAAATGTTTTTTTATTATTTTAAGTAGTATTATATTTAAAATTTTATCATTTCTTTGGAATTTTAAAATCGAAAATAGTGATTACAATAATAATTATAAAACAAATATATTTTATTGCTAGCCCAGCTAACTTAGTCGGTAAAACACGAGACTCTTAATCTCGGAAAAGTGGGTTTGAGCCCCACGTTGGGCGCCAATTTGTCGTATATGCAAGGTTCTTTCTTAGACGCATACGTAGTAATCACAAAACGTACCCCGAAACCTTTGATAATTACCTTTACTTACCTGACGTTCAAGGCAATATTATTACGTCATCGTGCATCACGATGTCCTAACTCTATTATCTACTTTAGATTCGGAAATTAGCTTTATTAACCGGACGGTTAAGGGATTATTACATTCTTGTGCGCTGTGGTGTTCTAACACCAAAATATCTCTTCCAATTTGTGATGCCTTAACTAAAAATATATGATCTTGATACTTTCTGATGCTGTTCAGCTAAGGTGAGTAGTTCTAATAGTTCTATATTTTACTACACTTTGATATCAAAAGAACACGATAATGAGTACCGAATCAAAACAATAAGTGAAAAACGTAAATGAGAATACAATATATATCGACCTGTGAGTAATACAACACCTAGGTAATCCCGTGAAAACGTGTTTAATGTTTATTAGTGATGGGCGGGGCCGACTAGTTTTAACTATCGATAGTTTAAAAAAGAACCAAGTGATTAATTAATTGAATAGGCGTTATAATTGAATGAGCTACTCGATAGTCAATAATTTCGATTGTATAGTAGATATTTTTCAGAAATAATCGAGTAGTTCAATAGTTTTCTCTAGGTAGTACCCATCTCTAATGTTTATACTAAAACACATACAAATAAATAAACACAAATGAGTCTTCCAAAATATAACACGATATATTATTTGTACACTGACTGCGCTCGTTCTTTGGGCGCTCTACCCGAAGCCCCGGATCAGAGTGATTTTCACAATAATATTTAAATAATCTTTTTCCAGTAATTTTTATAAAAAAAATGCATCAACAAGGTAGCGCGCTACCACGTATTACAATTTGTTGAACATACTATCTTTTAACATAATATTAATGCCTTCAACGGTGATGATCACGTAAAACAATATTAAAATGTATGAAAATATTTTAAGAATATTATATTATTATTGGTGGCTAGATATACAACAGTAGTTAGACATAATACTTTTTTCGAACCCGAGTTTTCACAACTGGAGAAAAAATCGTTACTTATTTTATTATACGTTGAAGCGTTAAAACGATTTACCAACGATTAAAAAACGATAGGAAGAATTAACATTAACGGATTAAATTAGAAAAAAAAAAAATGGAAAACCGACGATTAAAAAAAAAAGAAAGAAGAAAAACGTTTTATCACAGAAACGCGCGCGTGCGGACACCCACGTATCACGTTCCGGATTATTAAAAACATGTAATCTTCTAAGTGTCGTCTTATGATGGGCATAGGGCTACAAAATATATTTTAAAAAAAAAATGAAAAGGAAAAGATCCAATGCTAAAGTTTTTATGGTGATTCGGACCCGAGAATAGCACTATTAAAATGCCGGTAAATCGAAGGGCAACGCCACGATAGACATATCTTTTATTTATATGTGAGGGAGAGGGGAAAAAATATATAAATAATGAAAGAATAAAAAAATGTTGATCCTTTTAAAGGTTGTGTGGCGCAGCACGTCGTGAACGTAAAGTGAAAAAGAGAGGATGTGGAATTGGCGCTAGTGCGTTTTATCTCGTAAAATAAATTATACCGACCAAGTGTTGGGCCTGACCCCTTTTTTGACCACCGTCTACTCTCTCTCCCATCGTCCACTATGTGGTTCACGCTATCCGCTACATATACTCTGCAGTTTGTATGTGTTTGTGTGTGTATGTATGATATTTTTATATGTTACGAGAAACCGCAAGAAAAAAGAAGAAACTCTTTACCTGTTTTATGATCTAAGGCGTATGCGATACTTCTCCATGCAGCGTAGGTATACTTTAAACACGTCGTAATAAAATAAAAGTCACATCCAATTTAAATATCTTTATTTGCCGCAATATTCACCGTCACTTTTCCGCCCCACGACTATAATATATAGGTACCTATCCCATCACACCGATCCCAACACAGCATCACTTTGTCTCTTTCTATTGGAGTTTATTTACTATTTTCGCCATGGTCCAATATCGATATAAAATTAATACAATAGTGTATTTATAGGGTACCAATATTTTGTTAAACCCTAAAAACCCCATATAAAGCAAACGGGACTCCAGACAAAGTTTTTAAACATGAAAATAATCGAGTATTCTTGTTTTAAGTTTATCCTGAATCCATCCACTCTCACCGAATTTGTCTCGTTGTATTACTGCTGTAATCCTGCAGCAGTAGAGTAGTACATCAATAAAGACACAATTACATAAGTGTTAAACATTTTTTTTTTTAAAAACCAGAGGGAAAAATGGGGCTTCACTTTTTGTTAATCCGTTTTCTAATTTTCAAATAAAAATTTTACGTAATATTTTTAATATTTTTTTTTCACGCTTTTATCGAAAAAGAGGATGCACTTCATTGTTGGTATTCCTCTATGATAGGTGGATAACTGTTGTAACTTTTAGTTGAGAATATGAGAAGATTGAGGTTAAAGGGTATAATTTCATTTAAATATTGCAATCAAAAAATGATTTTAATCAGAGTTCAGTAAATTAATAAGGTTACAGAATCAATCTTGTTTTGTTTCTCTAGTCAAGGAGGTTGTTTATAATGAGGATCTAGCTCTAGAGATCAACAAAAATAAAATAGTTGTATCGTCATTTGTTGACATTTTTTTCAAGAGAATTGTTGTTAGGAATCTAGGACAAACTTTAAAATAAATTGCTACTTAATAGAAATTTTGTATCTTTCAAGATACGTGATGAAGAAATCTAAGCATTTTTACTAATCAAAAAAGTGTTTTCTGAAAAAAAAAAACACGAATCTTAGTAAAATTTGGTATAGCTTCTTCACTACATTCTCAGAATTTAAACGATGACCTAAGCTAACTAAAATATATACCGAAATAGATAAATTATATCTAATGTAAACTATACACACCAAATTAATTTAAAGCAGAAATTCAATGCGATTTGGGAATAGGGAAATTATCGATAAATAGTGAAACTGTATACCCTTCCTGTCAAATTTTCCTAGTGAAATTTTGTACCCCTCCATGGTAAAAATTCATTAGTAAAATTGTATCTCTGATAATCTTTCTGTCGGGGTGTAATTTCTCATTTTTTGTGGTTTATGGGCCCAGAGTGATTTACATTCGACATTTGGAATATGTAATATTTTTAAAGTTCTGAAAAATATTTAGAAAGTACCAATAAAAAAAAAAAACACTAATAGATTCTCGCGAGTATTTTCGTGGCTACGATTTGTTTGTTTACGACAAATATTTAGAGTAGTTGTGTGTTCACTGTTCACTGCTGCGGTGGCAGCGCGTATGTTTTGGCAGTCGGGACTCTGGCGGACTAAGTGATTGACGTCGTATTAGGAGTGAATAAAAAAACGCTCGGGAATAACAAAAACGACTTTGCTGGAGTGGGAGGGGGTGAAATACCAAAGGAAATATTGCCGACAATGGCGCAAACTATATATATAATATAATACTGGAGGTGGATTTGTATGAATAAGTAACGGAGTGAAAAAAAACCCTCGAAAAAAATAAAGAAATGTTGATTTTTTCACCTCCCCGCATTTGCGTTTGTTTTAGTTTCAAGTTTTTTCTTTCTTTTTTCTTATACCCAAGCGCGTGTGTGTAAAGGTAAACCCGAATTATTTAGTAGGTGTGACGCGCGCGCGAGGTGTGTAGGCCCTTTGTGTTGGGTGTCCGAATTCCCACGGACGTTTTGGACCTTTCTCGAAACGAAATAAAGTGCGTGCTCCCGTACTCTGCTCTCCTATCTCTCTCCACAGCAGAGTTTATCTCCGTGTGTCTGTGCAGTGCCGTTTAAGCTCTCCCTCCCTTTTCCTCCTCGCTATTTCTCTTCGTAGCCAACATCCGGTACACGAGCGCACCCAGGTAACGTTTCCGCCACCTGACAGTGTATACGTGTGTGTGTGTGGATTTCCGAGATAAACGCCGCGCTGGGGGTGTGTGTGAGGAAAAAAACAAATAATAAAACACAAGAATTCCTCCCTATCGAAACCCCGCTGAAGTGTACTGCCTCCTCTTCGGATGATATTTACGAGCGTCCTTTTTCCGTCCCCGCAACGATAAACACACGGACATCACGAAAGCTCTAATAATATAAATAATAGTTACGTGGTTTTATCGTTACATTTTAAAATCCGTCAATGTGTATGTGTATATGTGTGTGCGTGTGTGGAAGAAAATTAAGATCGTTTTTTTTTTTTTTTAAAAAGAAGCTAATACTGCTAATAGGTGTGACTTTGTTATAAGAAAGAAAAATAAGAAGAAAGAATTTATTTTAGAGTATTTTGATATTTTAATTTTTATCTGTACGCAATGATAAACAATTGCTAAGGAAGTACGTTTCTGAGCTAAGTCCTTTCCATTTTTGTCAAGATAACCAAGAAATTAACAAAAATTATACAACAAATTGTCAGTTTTTCCAATTTATTAGGAAAATTACGAGGAAAACTTGAGACACGAATTCTACAAAAAAAGTTCCTAAAAAGCGTTTAATGGAAGCATGATTTCTGGTATAAAATTATTTTGTAGGTACAAAAAAAAAAACATATCATAACAAAACTATTACATTCCTCACTTCACTCAAAATCCAAAAATTGTATACAGAACCTAAGTAATTTATTGAAGGTATATACTAGGTACATAGTCTATAATATACAATATAATAGATCAATTATGTTTAATACATTTTTCGCTAAGTCAATCAGGCAATTAAAAGTCTCCATATTATTCACATTTATTCAGTCATTTATAAAATCATCAATGATGCTCTGATTTAAAAACATTTTTGTGAGCTGAGTTGATGTTCTTTTTTCCGCTTATTAAATACACGTTATTTCTTATTTTCTAAACATTTCGCTGCTTTTAAAAATCACCCCACCAATATCTTTTTAAAAAAAAATGTCGATATATAACAAATATAGAGTAACGATAAAGTAACAAACGCAAACGTTAA